GCGGAGATTGAGAAGGAGAGAGGGAGGAGGAAGAGGACGGAGAGAGCAAGGAAGTGGCGGGAGTGGGCGTTGATTATGCGTTTGGATTCTGATAGGATGGTCCAAAGGTCGATGTGGACAGGCGGTGGTGGTGGCGTAGCCATGGCGGTGAAGAAGGAGAAGATGAAGACTGGAAGATTCTGATCCAGGAAACGGATTATAGCAACCAGGATGCTTTGTCTTTATGTAGCACTTGTTCATTTATCCTATGGTTTCGAGACAAGTCAGACACGCCAAAGTACGGATTATTTCTAGATTTATTTCATTATTTGATAAAATTTACTAATTTATCTTTATATTGAATTTAATAATTAATTATTTTATATTACCCATACTTATATGTCACGAGATCATTACTGTCTCTTAAAAAAACTAACCGTATTTATAGTGTCAATGTTTATAAAATTTTAAATAAAATATCTTTATTTTATAAGTTTTATTCAAAATTTTAAATAAGTCTATTAATTTTTAAAATATACACTTATCTAAAAAATATAAATCCTATTAATAATAGAGAATATAAATAGATTAAAATATATTTTTTTCTTATTAATTTAAAAAATTACATATACAATGTTTTTTGAAAAAAATAAAAAAATAGCTCAATGCTCCTTTATTTTTTAAAATTAATAAAACTTATATAATAATAATTTTAAAATTAATAAAAAGTAAAATTATACTTTCAATATTATCACATTATATCAAACTAAGAAATACTGTTGATTAAGTAACAACTAAACCTATATGTGGAATAAAAGATTTTTTTTTAAACGGAGTGTTTAAAATTTTTAAAAATTGAAGTATTTTATTTTAAATATTTTAATATCTCTTTTTTTATTTGACGTGAGTGTTTGATATAGGATTAAAATTCTTTCTCTTTGTTTTTCAAAAAGAGAATTAAAAAGTATTTGAAATTGTCGATAGGGAAGCAGATGAGCATCCACGATGCACCTCGGTCAATTTTGGAACAAGAAGGGCTGATCCGACTTAGGGCATGGATTGACATGGAATTTGGATATGGTCCAAGCTTGGGCTTATGATACACCTATCGAGATATTTGTCGCCATGATCATGGTTAATAGCATGCGCCGTCTCAGCGCGACTCGACACTTGCGTGCTCTCGACTTTATCATATACGTATAGTTTAATTACAAAATGAATAACAAAAATATGGAAAAAAAGGAGTATATGACTATTCCTTGTGGAAAGCTCAAGATAAGGAAACTTATAATAAGTTATGGTGAATATGAATGTGTCAAAAATCAGCTTCCATGACTATTCAATTCAATTGGCTTTATAAGTCATGAGTATTAATTTCATTAGCAATAAAAATCAATTTTGATGGTGAAATTCATTGTCGAAGTGTCCACATAGTAAATTTTTTTTGTTGTAAATTTAAAGAATTAGTCAAAATTTCAAAAGATCGAGAAGAATGTTTCTAAAAGTCTTTAAACTCTAATATATTTTTAAAAATATGAAATAAAAAATAAAGTCTCCTCATTTTTTATGTACAAATTTAATTTTTAAGGGTGTTTTTTTTTTAAAGATACACCTATAATGAAGTTAATTATTTGATCAGAAAACTAATAATTAAGTTGATTGGGCCAAGCAAGCTGTCTCATAATCCAAAGGCTTATGTCTCTCTTTGGGCCTTACAAGCATGTGTTTCAGCCCATTAAATTTGATATTGGGCCTCCAATCCAGGTGAATTAAGCCCACTAATTAAACAAAATAATAATAAAATAATTGACAGAATCTTAGCAATTTGATAGGAGCTTTGAGAATAAAAAAATACAAGGAAAAAATGAGTGGAAATGTGTTAGAAATTGGAGAAAAAATGAAAAGCATTTCCCCTATTTTGTGAAGGAAGTAATATAAATTAAGTCAAGCTTGGCAAATGCTTGTATTAGGTTTGAGAGGTCAAATAAGGTTTTTATCAAAAAAGATTTTATATGGTTTTAGGGAAATTAGGCCTGTCGATTGGGCTGAAAGTGCATTCCTCAGCCTCGAACCCGCTTCCTCAATTTCCACTCCATCCTCACCCCATGGGGATTTATTCGAGAAGGAAACCCTTGCTCTCGTCAATTTTTTTTATGAAAATTTAAAAAATTTAAATGTTCAATTATTTCTTAATTTATCAAATAAGAATTTGAATAACAATCATTTACAATTAAGTAAAAACATACAAATATACCAAAACAAATACAAACCCAAATTAAATTATACACTTTTAAAATGATATTTTTGTCATTTCATAAATACAAAAATCTATAAAAAAAAATCAATAATCTATAAATTATTACATATGTTTGTTCTTTTACTTCATTGTTTACCCATAAATTCCATTTAATTTACGTAACAAAAAACTACTTAGATTTCGTTTGATCGAAATTTTTATTATTTATTTTATATTTTTATTAAAAAATAAAAAATAATAAAAATTTATATCAATAGTGAGCATAGAAAGAGAAACCACAATAACTAAATTGTTGTCACAAATGAGCTAACAAAGGGGAAAGAAAAGGAAAATTAGAGCAACTGAAAGTGGTAAGACGAATCTGTTCCTTCTCATTAGGGAATGTGAAGAAACCATGGCCAAGGCTAACGGTAAAAATGATTTCCATATGCTGTTTTGTTTCAAAGACCACCGACTCCTATGTGAAAAGTCTTGTTTAATGTTTACTATTTAATTTCATCAAAAGCCCAATTTTAATCCAAAACCGCTGTCACCTTGCTAAATATGAGGCCCTCCATGGTTGTAACCATCCAAAACCTGTCGACGTTTTCCAATCTTGAGAGCCCAAACTTCCCCGTTTCGAGCTGTTACAGACTAACGAACGCCGGCACCATGGTGTAGGCACCCCAAAAATGGCAGCTAACTTCGTTAATGGAATAAACTATAAAAAAGCTTGCGGAAGAATTTCATGCACACTATAAGGCCAGGGGTCAAATCCACAAAACTCAAACTAGCACGTTTTCTAACCGATCCTTCTTCTTTTTTCAGACATTTAATGATCGAGAATTTCCCTCCAATCCGCACAATCTGCGTGCTTGGCACTTTGGATTCCCCCGTTTGAGTATTTTCACAGTGTTTTCTTCGTGACTTCTCAGCAGTTACAGAGGTGGGTCTAGCTCTTTCAGATCTGATTTACACTTTTTGTTTCTATCGTTTCGAATGTTTATTTAGCTGCTGGGATTGGTGTGTTTTCTGGGTATTGATCAAAATGGAGATTGCTAGCGTTACTTCTCCACGAATGAGATTAGATCACCTAGAAAAAGAAGGATCGAAGGAAACCCATGGGGAAAGTTTTGAGCTAGAATCATCTCGTAATGTTAGTGATCATAACCACCAATTCCATTCCATGAATGCATTAGAGATCTTAAGAGAAACCGTTAGGATTTTAAGGTACAATTCGGCCGGTTTTATGATCATTGCAGCTTTGTTAATTTGCCCGGTATCTGCAGTACTTATGTCAAATTTGCTAGTGGATCATTCCATTGTGAAGAGATTTACCGTTAGGCTTTTGTTAGTTGCCAAAACCAGTGGACTCCCATTGAGATCTTTCATCAAACAGTCGTGCCAACGTTTTGCTGAGACGGCTGTTTCCTCAGCAATGTGCTTCCCTTTGTTCATCACATTGTCTTTGTTATCAAAAGCCGCGGTGGTTTATTGTGTAGATTGTACTTATTCAAGGAAATCAGCCGATGTTTCGAAGTTTTTTGTGATAATTCGAAAGTTTTGGCGGCGGCTTATTTCTACATATGTGTGGATGTGTATGGTAATTGTTGGTTGTGTAACAACTTTCTTCGTTTTCCTTGTTGCGGCATGTAGCGTACTTTCTGTCATTGGCTTTACACCTGATTTAATTGTGTACGCAGTGATTATAATGGGGCTAGTGTTCTCGGTTGTTTTTGCCAATGCTATTGTTGTCTGCAATATTGGGATTGTAATCTGTGTGTTGGAGGAGGTTTCGGGACCGCAGGCATTGCTTCGTGCTGGTGTTCTAATCAAGGGGCAGACTCAGGTTGGTCTTTTGATATTTCTTGGATCCACAATTGGGTTGGCATTTGTGGAAGGGTTGTTTGAACATAGGGTAAAGACGTTGAGTTATGGAGATGGGTCTTCTAGGATCTGGGAAGGGCCTCTGTTGGTTATAATGTATTCATTTGTGGTACTTGTTGATTCCATGATGAATACGGTTTTCTATTTCAGTTGCAGATCTTATAGTATCGAAGCCTCAGATGGTGAATGTCAATCCATGTTGGATACTATAACTGTTTCCGCTGAATCATTGGGTGTTCAATGACATCATCACAGGCGTTGTTATGTTATCAGCTAATATTTCTTGTGCTCATAACATGCAAGGTGGAACTGCCTGAGTAATTCCAATCCCAAAGCTGGGGTGCTGAAGAGGAGTACTTGTTGTTGTTTCAGTAAAACTCCATCGAGAGTTTGCAGCTCACGACATGCTTAAGATGATTCTCTCAACTCTTCCAAAGATATTCATAGCTCAGGTGCATAAATTTCTTGTGATTTACCAGACATGGAAATGCAAAATTATATACAATAATTAGATTCATGATCTTTTCATATATATATATATATTCATCAACCATATCGGGTAGAATCTTTGATTTAAATGGTTCCAATTCAAGTGTTGGACCATTTCATGTTCCTTTCTCTACCCTTGTATTTTCCTTCTGAATTCTTTTAAATTCTTAATAAAATAGTCAAACAATAGAGCTTGGAGTATTAATTGATCTTAAGAATGATTTTGAGCATTGAGAATGAATTGGTCTGGAAATGTATGTTTGCTTGTGGTGGAAGTATACACAATTTGTACTATCTTTTTCTCTTTTATTTCCTTTTGTTGCAGAACAATCATATGAAAGCTAGAATTATTATATGAATATGCTTGTTCTTGAATAAATGCATCCTGGATTAGTCCAGAAAATGGGTTCAACAATCTCACCTTGGCCACACAAGTGAGAACTGAACTAATCCTTCCATGATCAGGTTCACAGTTTGGGATATTATACTTATCATTACTTTATATATTTTATAATATTTTCACGGAATTAAATATCCGTTGATGCATCGATATATTCATGGATATATCCGGCATTCATGGTCTTGGTATAAATATTCGTGAATATATTTATATATTGGAAGATATTTATGAATATTTCGAAAATCCGTAATAAAACTCATGAATTTTGCTGAATATCAAAAAATATATATAGAAATTTGTTGAGAAAATCTATTAAGTGAAGCACAATAAGAGTGATACAGAACTAATATTTGCTTTGCCAATACCCAAAAAAAAAAAAAAGAAAAAGAAAAAGAAATAGAGCCTTTGTAGTAA